TCCTTCGTCCGTTGTGTCATATTTTTTCAGTACAATTTTGCATAGATTATTCTTTTACTGTTCTTTTTAATTTAAGAAGCTCTTCTTTATCTTAAAACAAACTTTCCTCAAATCAGGTTAGTTTAGGTTAGGTGAGATAAAACATGATATCCATTAATTACAGTTTGTATTACGTTATATACACTGTACATGGTTGCTCTTATGTACAAATCAGGTCGAATATTGAAAAAAAGTAAATATATACTACACTGAACAATGGAAATATCGCCACGACGCAATATTTGACGTCGAAAAAATAATGCAAAAATATGCTGTATGTATTATTTCACCTCTTTCCTCCATTTTCTGTCCTTTCCTTTCTTTATCCGTTATCTCTTGCTTGGGGGGGGGGCCTTTTTTACCCTCCATGCTTCCGCCTCTTCAATGTTTACACAAAGACCCAACAATTTAATAGTTTGGTGTATTAAAAAAAGAGGGCAGCGTAACTTAGCTGTTCTAGTTCGAAAATTAACATTATTTTAATTTTTTCTCCCCCCTGTAATCTCGTGGGTAAAAACGACCTTGACAATCTGAAATACTGAACTACCAACATTTCCAGTACTGCTCAGTAAGACGCTGCTTTAATTTTTGCTTTTACACTAATACTGAAATTAATCCACTTGGTCTGTGGCAGGTTACCGAGTGGATATACCCAACTCTATCACGGACAGACGGACGGATGGGCCAACTCTATCACGGACAGACGGACGGATGGGTCAACTCTATCACGGACAGACGGACGGATGGGCCAACTCTATCACGGACAGACGGACGGATGGGTCAACTCTATCACGGACAGACGGACGGATGGGCCAACTCTATCACGGACAGACGGACGGATGGGCCAACTCTATCACGGACAAAACGGACAGATGGATGGATGAAGAGTATCATTGCTATATATCCCCAAACTTTCGGTCAGGGAGGAATACTGAGAGAAAGAATTATAACACCAGTCAACAAGGAACGGCAGAAACAATACAACTAATGACTTTCAATCTTATTAAACTTTAAAAAAAAAATTATGTCTGATGCAAACATAGAAAAACATGGCATTCCTAAAAATTGGAATCCATTGGTAGTAGTACTTTCTGGGATTGGGACCTGTTATTATTAAGCTCCAATCCCAATGGTTAGGTTAGATTGTTATCAATTACGGCTGGGATAATGTTTGATGAATCGACAGCTGATGGAGAGGACACGACGCCTCTAAAACAGGTGAGTGTGATTACTGCACCTACATGACGGGAAGAGATGGGGTTCTGACGGGAGGAAGGTTGTGGGGGGGGGAGGGGATTTCGATACCCTCATAGACAGCGTGAAGGAAGGGAAGGGGGAGGGGGGAGACTTTCATAGAGACAGCAAAGGGACCACAGACGATCACAAAGACGGTGTAAGAATAAGGATTGGGTCCGAGGTCTACGTCTATGTGAACGAGTGGGGGGGGCATCACGAAGTTGACTCGAGCGCAGGACAAAAGCTTACTTCAGCTTAGTGTTGGTGCTTGGTCTTCCCTGCCCTGATACTCATTGACAACCCCACAGATAAGGATCCCGGTGACTGAGATATCTCAACCAAGGTCATGCTTACCTCACAGTGTAAGATGCTTGTTATCTACTCCTTCCCAGTTATCAATCTTTACATTAAAAAAAAAAGTTTGGGATCACCTGAAGATTATACACCCCAGTTTATTTTACCTGATGATTAACATTAAGCTACTTGGAGAGGTAAGTCAATTTAGGTTAGATTATGTTAAGGTATGTTATCTTATGTTAATGTTAAGGTGTTTAATATTAATGGTGAGATAAGCTGGGGCCTAATCTTCAGGTGATTTAAAATACGTAAATAAACAAAGTTGTAGGATAAAATAATGTATTTTTTATTTTCTATTATTATTATTACTATTTTTTTTTTGAGGGGGGAGTATCATTATTTTCGCTCCATACACAATAAACACTTCAGCAGTGATGCGAAAAAAGAAATAAAGTCAGTTCCATGTTTACCGAACCAATTAATCTTGTGTTTAGTATTTTAATAACTGGTTATAAAAATGCCTTGTGCTCTTATCTTTCATGGGCTGTGTTATGAGTCCGCAGTGAATATATGTGCTTTTGTCCCTGGGCTTTTGTCTTAGGGGGCTTTTGTCTGGGGGCTTTTCTCAAGGGGGCCTTTGTCTTAGGGGTTATGTCCAGGAGGGGGGCTTTATTTCCGGGGGATTTTGCCCTAGGGAGTTTTTGTCCTTCACTCGCTTTATAGTGTTGTGAGTCATTGCAACGCCGTCTATAACCTGGAAGTTCTTTTAAGCATATAACTGCAATGAGTCGGCTATGGCTGTAAGGTTTGGATAGCGAAAAATAATAGTGTTTATCACAGGTGTTGGACTAAGTCTACCATTGATACACTAATTTATATTCCCAGATTTTCAATTTTTTATTTACATGGCCTTATAGTTGTGTTTTTTTTTTGTTCTCTTCATAATTGTCCTCATTATTTTTTGTTGGTTACTGATGAAAAATTTAAGGTTTTAAAAGAGTTTATAAATAATATTGTGACTCATTAACCCTATATTTTCATTATTATTAACAACAAGCTTGAAATCGGGGTTAAAAACAAGCTATTATTTACGTCTCCAGACATAAAGCGTTCATAAACTCTCTAAGACTCCTTTGTACTAAATATTCGTCCCGCGGATCATTTTGAAAGTAAAACAAAAGAATAACTTGAAAACCTGTAGAAAACCTGTAAGATGGCATTAATATAAAAGTTACGGAATCTACACAGCTAAACAAAACAAATCGTAGTTAGGTTAAAATATTTTACAACCAATTCAGCTTATTTAACGGAACAGAATATTGTTTGTTCTACACTACACTACACTACACTACACTACACTACACTACACTACACTACACAATACTAACATGCACTGGTGATATATCTATACATTTTGAAAATAATTCGCAAACCTAACTCGAGTGTAGGGCAAAAACCCCACTGGACAAAACCCCACTGGACAAAACCCCCACTGGACAAAACCCCACTGGACTAAACCCCCCTGGACAAAACCCCACTGGACTAAACCCCCTCACGTAAAGTGCAAAGTAGGACCAAAAATACTTATTTTGGGTAAAACATAGGAGAAAAAGCCCCTAACCTAACCTACCTTAACCTAACCTAACCAGAACTAAAATTATTAAAATGGACTTATAATCTGAAAATCGAACAAATGGGGGCTTTTGTCCTATTTTTTTACTCTAAATAAGGTATTTTTGTCCAACTTTGCACTTAACTTGAGGAGGTTATGTCCAAGGGGAGGCTTTGTCCGGACCTCACCTAATTCGTGTGTGCTTTAAATCGGGTCACAGTATGAAGACAGATACAGAGGAACATAAGAATGAAGGAAACTGCAGCGGGCTTAAGATTCCTACTTATCATTACTCCTAAATCTTTCTCGCAGTCGGATTTCTCTATAACATCTTGTTCATATGGTATCTGGTTTCCCTGTTTACATCTCCCAAACCGAGTACTTTACATTCGATTTTTTTTTTAGATCTTCCTGTAGTTTTGCGGAGTCCTCGTCAGATTTAATTAAAAGCCCCATTTTAGTGTCATCAGCAAATTTACTTATGTTGCTGTGTACGCCGATATCTATGTCGTTTATGTATATAATAAATAATAATGGTCCGAGTACTGAACCTTGGGGTACTCCACTAGTGACGTTGCTCCAATCGGATTTAGTGCCGTTTTTGCTCACTCGCTCTTTCCTGTCCTGTAACCACGCCCTATTCCATTTTAGAATATCTCTTTTAATGCCATGAGCCTCCACTTTTCTTATTAACCTTTCGTGAAGGATTCTGTCGAAGGCTTTGTAAAAGTCGAGATATACCACATCATAATTGTGCCCCTCGTCCACTGATTTGAAAACAGCTGAATTTTTTTTTAATAGATTAGTTAGACATGAACACCCGCTTGTGAAGCCATGTTGGGAATCTTTGATCAACTTGTGCTTCTCCAGGTGATTTCGAATAGAGTTTGAAATGATTGCTTCCAGTAATTTGCCTACAATTGATGTTAGACTGATTGGACGGTAGTTAGAGGATAGTGATCTATCTCCGTTCTTGAAAATCTGTATTACATTCGCTATCCTCCAGGATTCTGGTACTACACCCGTTTTTAAGGACATGTTAAACAACTTTGCTAAGGGCATACTAAGCTCTTCCTTACATTCCTTTAATACTCTGGCAAATATATCTCATCGGCACCTGGTGACTTATTAGGTTTTAGTTTGTGTATCCAAAATTATAACAATTCCAAGCGTAATATTAGTTTGTCTACAGTAACACACCTGTGGATATAACCAGAAAATGAACTGATAAGATATTCTAAGAACGTCTAACTCACATCCTGGACGAAACATTCCAGCAAAAAAAAAAACGAAAAAATTCACCTAACCTAACTTAACCAAACCTAACCTAACCTAACCAAACCAAACCTGACAAGCCTAACCAAACCTAACCAAACCTAACCAAACCAAACCAAACCAAACCAAACTTAACCTAACCTAACCTAACCTAGTCAAAATTGTGATTGCGTCTTGACTTGGCAGAATTACTGTAGGCTTTATATCAAACGTTAAACACCTTAACCTTTTCACGTCTCCCGCTCCAGAGGCGTAAATTAACAAACACGATACGGGACTGTTAGTTGAGGATTGTCTGGGAGGTTTGAGAGCAAAATGTAAATTGTAATTAAATACACTTATCTGGCTAGAGTTCTTGCAAGAAGGTGATAGGTTACTACACTCACCACGACCTCACACGCAAGGTACAGGAGGAAGCGTTAAGGCGGCATAAACCCTTTGATATACGAGGCTGTAGGGTGCCTGTGAGAAATACACACCCACACGCACACACAAATCACTTTTTCACTCTGTCCTGATAACTGTTAACACACATACTCACACACAGTTCAGGTCAGGAGCCAAGATATCTGACTTAGATGGTGATTGTGACCGGAACGCGTCATTCTCGTCACTGTATAACACAAGTAAGAATGAATTAATTACTTAATATTCTGTTTTGTAGTGAAGGTGAATTTATTCCTAGCGTATCGTACTGATTAATGTTTTATATATCGGTTGTATAAAACCGAATATCCTGATAAAAGTAATGGAATTTTACCTGTACTTTATATTCAAATTAACATTCGTACGTCCATTTCTGATTACTGTGACAATTTTTATCCCAATTATTCTTTTTTCATTCCAATTGGGACTTTCCTTTAACTTTATAATCCAAATCGATGTGTGAAAAATTAAGTACAACTGAATGTATTTCTAGACAATGAAAAACACAGATTTTTTTTAGAGCACCTGAACATTGACATCCCTAACTTTATTTCACATGAAGATTAACCAGCCAAACACTATCTGAGGGTTAGGTTAGGGTGGTATTTTTCAAGTAAAAATAATCTGAGAGGTGAATTTGCTTTTGTACATACTGATAATATAAACTAGTCTAACATATCCCAGTTATATAAGAACTAAACCTTGTTATAGATCGCTTAATATTGCTATACCATTCAACCATTGTGTTCACTATCACTTTATGCTTCAAGAGAGAGAGAGAGAGAGAGAGAGAGAGAGAGAGAGAGAGAGAGAGAGAGAGACCTACCCATTTAATCTCAGCTTTCCACTACCTTACAAACACATACTAATAAATCGTGAGACCTTTTCTACAACATGATCCTACAGTTCTCAAGGGGCAGAATTTCACACTTTTAAGGAGACGTGAGAGGGGACAGTGGTCAGATGTACTAATATGTGAATAAATGACCCACCCTGATAACCCTCACCACCCGAGCTGCTGAACTCTGGTGGGTAAACTAAAATATTACCGTAACTCTGGTGGGGAAAAAAACCCCAAAGTATTACCGTAACTCTGGCGATAAACTAAAGTATTACCGTAACTGTTATTAATTATTAGTAACTAGAATGTCGTATACATAGGCCTACGTTTTTTCTTATAATGTTATATTAATCTATCGATATTAATCAGTTGGTATCTATAACATATCGTCTATATTCTTATGCATATAATTCACCAAACAATGTTACGACAGTATATAGAATAATGTTTAAAGGTCAAACATACCAAATCTAGGTCATCCAATATATAATACTTAATACTACGTCAACAGTTGGTATTCGAGCCTAGTGTGAATTATAACTATATACTAATTAGTGGGTTAGTTCTCTTGGGAGGTTTCAGAAGGTGAGAATTGACAGCCTCCCAAGAAGACCTCACACATAGGGTACAGGAGACGTGAGGTCAGGGCGGCAGATCTAAGCCACGGTGAGAGAAAGAAGAAAAATGATCCTGTCACTTTGTTGTACTGTATTATCTGATGATAGTTTAACCGTACGCTACTTTATGTCTCTCGTGAAGTTATAGGAAGTTGTTTAGAAACGTGATTGTAAAAGTTGTTATAGATTTTAATAAACGAAGTTGTAAAAGTTGTTATAGTTGTTGTTTACAATGAATTTAACGCAATTTAACGACCACACATGTATTTCCATTTATATCATCCGGTGATAAAGTTTATAATAATTTTCATAAAAAGATTTGGTACGTTAAGCTAATCCTTCATCTAGCGGGAGGTGAAAATATCTAATTAAAATACTCTCTCAGTGTAACTTTGACGTCATTCTACTGTAGATTAGGGGCCGTCAACATACTTTTATAGAACATAATGTATGGGTAACGTGGGGAAAAAAAAATATCACAAAAGTCACAGAAAAAGACAGTTTTGACGAGGTATTGTTGGGGGGAATTTTATTTTCTGACTTCTTCTCACATGGATTCGAGGTATGTGGTAAAGTTGTTATCTAATCCAGAAATACTCTTAAACAATCCCAAATCAAAATTAAACTAATGACATAACTGATGAGTCTACAGTAAGAGAGGCATGTAATTTTGTTTTATATTTAATGAACTCCATCAATAACATCCACGGCTAATCTCAATGTGAACTAGTAAATCGATCTCATTGCATATTCACAACTGTACTCTAGTTTCACTCAGTCATTTATGCATTGAGAGGAAAATTCAATGTATTGACCTTTAAGTATTCCCAGACAGGATGATAATACGTGTGTGTGTGTAAGACTTATTATCATTTATCACTACACCACGAAAGCCTGGTAGATGGAGGGTGGCGGACGATCCGAGCGTAGACCAGTGTCGTCCGTTAACGACATTTAACGGAAACCAGATAAAATATTTCCACAATCGAAAAAGTTGTCCGGTTATGATGATATTCCGGACAAATACTGATCTTGATTTATATATATATATTATCACTACTTGCGTCAATAGTTAGAGTCTTTAAGAGTGTATTCTGAGTTAATACAGGATTGATGAATAACTATAAGATACAAATGAGAGATAAAAGGATTAATTTATCTGAGGATTAGACCAGCAACTTATTTAACCTAATGTTTTAATTAAACACCCTAATGTTTACCTAGAGGGGTTATAATAGCATTAGATTAGATTAGCATTAAGGTAATTGTAATCTTTTGCAGTTAAGAAGCTGGAGAGACCGATATTTATTGTTGATGTAACTTATAACTTTAACTAAGCGAGTCATCAACATTTAAGCACCACTTTTACATAGATCTTCAAGTGAACCTGTGAACATCTGAACCCTTGAGACTCAACGCCACCACCAACACATCTGAACCCTTGAGACTCTACACCGCCACCAACATATCTGAACCCTTGAGACTCTACACCACCAACAACACATCTGAACCCTTGAGACTCGACACCACCAACACATCTGAACCCTTGAGACTCTACACCGCCACCAACATATCTGAACCCTTGAGACTCTACACTACCACCAACACATCTGAACCCTTGAGACTCGGGACACCGCCACCAACACATCTGAACCCTTGAGACTCGACACCGCCACCAACACATCTGAACCCTTGAGACTCGACACCGCCACCAACACATCTGAGCCCTTGAGACTCGACACCGCCACCAACACATCTGAACCCTTGAGACTCGACACCACCACCAACACATCTTCATGAACCATTTGCTGTTATTTCATACTTAGGTCTTTCCGTATTAGTATTTGATAATATATTGATTTATAGAGAAATGTCTGTTATCTAAGTACAGGGTGGAAGATGGTGATTCGAATATGTCTATAACTACTAACTATAACTATTTGCAAATATCTAGAATTGTATGAATAACTATTTTACATTCCTAACTAGATGTAAGTTTTTAACGTAACCCCGTTATACATAAATAATATATATACACAGCACATGTTAACTGATAGTTACTTATCAAATTTAGTTTCCTTTCTAGTTAATCAGTTTCATTTTATCAGTTTATTCCCTCAGTACTTTGTTAGTTCATTTTATATACAGAGAGAGAGAGTTACCTACCCCCTATCCTTCAAATATCCTTCTTATAACCGTAACTAAATATCCTCACAGAAGAAAATTCCACACAAAAGGCGGCCAAACTCTCAGCGGTTACAAAAGACGGTCAAACTTTCTGAGGTTAAAGTGCTAATTCTTGCCCTAAATACCTAAGTAATAAACCTATGTGATACAAAAACTCAGATCATGAATTCTCAATAAAAAAGTATCCCAAACTTTCACATGTAACTGGCTCTAGTTTCCTAAGATCAACCTTCACATGTAACTGGCTCTAGTTCCCTAAGATCAACCTTCACATGTAACTGGCTCTAGTTCCCAAGATCTGTAACTGGCTCTAGTTCCCTAAGATCAACCTTCACATGTAACTGGCTCTAGTTCCCTAAGATCAACCCTCACATGTAACTGGCTCTAGTTCCCTAAGATCAACCTTCACATGTAACTGGTTCCTTTATAGACACAATACGTAGTAAAAATTACATAGATACTTTTTTGTTTTTTTTTAACTCGATAAATTCTCACATTTTCAGTTACGGAGTTGGGTAAATAGTTTGTGTGTCAATATAGACGGAGTTAAATGTTAAATTAGAATATCTGGATCAACTCTCAATTCTTGTACTTGATTCACAGGGATCCTTACGATAAATATTTTCCCGTGAATAAATATAAAACTCACACATTACAATCCCCCTGAAATAATAATCTACATTGTATTTAGATCACATGACTGGAGAAGAATCTTACTGACTGGTCGAGCATTGATCTGACAACATATCATTTCGTCTACTCAAAATATTTACTTTTTCCTCATCTTCTAAAACAATCTTTCATAAAATAATAAAAACCATCACGTTGATATTGCAAATCATCTCATTGCAATGTCAACAACAATATACAGATTCATGATAATAACGTTGAAACACTGTGTTAAAAATAACTCTCAAGAGATCATTAACAGACGGTAAACATTCTGGCAATATGTGAGATTTTCAGAATAGACTAAATAGGTAGAATTAAATTACAACTAAACACATGCATAAAGTACATCCATATGTGTATAGCAGTTGTGTATATTATTTTGTAGCGTCCATGTTGGAGAGAGAGAGAGAGAGAGAGAGAGAGAGAGAGAGAGAGAGAGAGAGATGTGGGACACTGACTACAAAAGGTTATATTTTCTCATGTTAGAAGCTGGATGACACCTCTCTCCCCTCCCCCCGGGTTGAATGCCAGCGTAAAGCGTGTGTCTGCAAAGCGTGTGTGTGTCTCAAAAGCGTGTGTGTGTGTGTCTCTGTATATGTGTGTGTCTCTGTAAAGCGTGTGTATGTGTCATGAGTAAAGTGTGTGTGTGTCTCTGTAAGGCATGTGTGTGTCCTGTAAGGCATGTGTGTGTCTCTGGTAAAGGTGTGTGTGTCTCGTAAAGCGTGTGTGTGTGTGTCTCTGTAAAGCGTGTGTGTGTGCTCCCAAGGCAAGTGTATAAATGAGTAAAAGCGTGTGTGTGTTCCCAAAGCGTGTGTGTGTCGAGTAAAGCGTGTGTATGTCTCGTAAAGCATGTATACATTCCTGTAAAGCGTGTGTGTGTCTCGTAAGGCATGTAAAAAGCCGAGCAAAGCGTGTGTGTGTGTCTCGTAAAAGCGTGTGTGTGTGTCGAGTAGCGTGTGTATAACTTGTAAAGCATGTATGATCTCGTAAAGCGTGTGTGTATGTCTCAGCGTGTATGTCTCGTAAAGCATGTATACATCTCGTAAAGCGTGTGTGTATGTCTCGTGGTGCATACATCTCGTAAAGCGTGTGTATGTCTCTGTAAAGCATGTATAATACATCTCGTAAAGCGTGTGCGTGTGTATGTCTCGTAAATCATGGCTATGTGCATACATATACATCGTAAAGTGTGTATGTCTCGTAAAGCATGTATACATCTCGTAAAGCGTGTGTGTATGTCTCGTAAAGCATGTATACATCTCGTAAAGCGTGTGTGTATGTCTCGTAAAGCATGTATACATCTCGTAAAGCGTGTGTGTATGTCTCGTAAAGCATGTATACATCTCGTAAAGCGTGTGTGTATGTCTCGTAAAGCATGTATACATCTCGTAAAGCGTGTTGGTGGCAGTTGAAGCACCTGAACCCAAATACACCGATGCAACACAAATACAACGAAGCACCTAAACCAAAATACAACATAAACAAAAACGATACGAAATACAATAAAGACGAGAATCCAAAAGTTCTTAGATAAATATATATATATAAATGCCCTACACAACTTAGGTTTGAATTGAATTGTAACAGTTTATTTAGCCAGAAAAACACTGATACAGAGTGGATAATAATAACAATATTAACATGGCTGAGCCAGTTGAGAACCTGAGCTCTCTTTTAGGCACCTGATATATACTAAACATTTATCTCAAGGAAGTAATATGTAACATTTAGTATCATCTGGAATAGTATAATAGCATGGTGGTAATAAGAACATCTCATAATGTTACTACGGTTTTCACTTTAATATTTATTCATTTTATTTATTTATTATTTTATTTATTTATTTATTTATTTATATTATAAATATATACATAAATTACAGTGTAATTGAAAAACATAAGTATAATGGGGGAGCAGTACAACCTGGGTTGTACAGTATTAAGGTTGAACAAGAGGACAAAGCTGTCAGGATTATGTCTAGTTGGCACTTATATTTATTGCAATGGTAATTTCTTATCTATTTACATGATAATTCCCGATATAACGGTTTTGACGTTCAATAAAAGCAGGTACTGTAAATATAGTAGGTATTACAAGAAATATTAATACTTAGACAATAGATATTTTTTAAGAGATGATTTAAAGGAAGGGAGCGTAGTCTTTGCTCGGGTGGGTGGGGGTAAGTTGTTCCACACCTTCACACCATGATATTTTATGGAGGTCTGAGACTGAGGGGAGCGCATGGGGGGTGGTCTTAGTAGCTCTGGGTGCCTTAAGTTGTATCTCTGATTATTCCGGAACTGGAAATAATTAGGTTAGTTTAGGTTAGGTTAGGTTAGTTTAGGTTAAGTTAGGTATATTTACTAGAGTAATCCCTCACGTACACTATGCCGGGTATTCCAGTATTCGTTATATGAGCTGATAATATTGATGTATGGTGAGTATACTTATCTCTAGTGACCTGAGGGCATGTGGTGTGTGGTAGACGACAGGTGTGTTTACCGAGTGAGTAGAGGCCATATTTACCCTTGCCGCAGGGACTATGGGAGGAGATTATCGAGCCCAGCCAACCAGTGTGTTAGTGAGAAATCGTTACCAATTAGTCATGTGCTGAGAATTTAATCTTCTCATGTACTTTACTTACTGTACATTGCAGTATATCGTATAATGTTTCCTTACAAGTTAAGATTCTGAATAAAGGTGTGTTACCATTTTTTTTAGTATATTCGTAAGATTATATTATTAAAAAAAATTAATTCATCTTATTAAATTTACAATGTTAATATTAAATTACCTGTTGATTCGTCGCAGTTTATTTCACCTTAAGATTCACTCCTAGTTTATTCCAGTTAAATATTTGCCCAAGTATATTTCACGTTAAGATTAATCACCCTAATGCTAACCTAATCCACCCTACCTTAATCTAACACAAATTAATCCCCTCCCCCCAAGAGAGCTTTAGGGGGATTAATCTTCAAATTAAATAAGCTGGAATAAATAATAGAGCTCAATCAAATTACAAATCCACTAGATTATGGGATTTAATATCAGTGGGATAATGGTGTAGTGGTACAGAGTCCCCAGGAGTATAATGGCATTCACTATTGAGTTGTACAATGGTGTCCAATGGAAGAATGGTATCTACTTATAACCAATGGTACACTGGTATCAGGAAAAACTCGACTCTTCCACCTTGGCATAATGTTATACAGATGGCATACATAGATTCCAATGGGTACAACAGATTTACAATGGTGTCAGAAGTTATTGGCATCACTGGCACTGTTGCAGGAGAGAGTGTCATCCACTTGTCACCCCCCCCCCCCTCATCCTCTCGTTATCTAGCACTTGTGTCAGTTCTGGTCACCGTACTACAGAATGAATATAGAATCCCTGGAGAGAATTCAGAGGAGAATGACAAGACTAATCCCGGGCATTAGGAGCCTTGAGTACAGAGACAGGTTAAAGCATCTTAATTTGCACTCCCTCGAGAGACGTAGAGTGAGGGGCGATATGATAAGAGGTGTATAAATGGAAGTCAGGGCTGAACAAAGGTGATATATAACAAAGGTACTCAAGCTATCCAACCAGGAGCAAACTCGTAACAATGGTTTTAAATTAGACAAATTTAGATTTAAGCGCGAAATAGGTAAACATTGGTTTGGAAATAGAGTAGTGGATGAGTGGCACAAGTTACCAAACATCATCATTAACTCGAATACGCTGGATTGCTTCAGATCACACATCTTACTCACAATAGATCACACAGGTTAATTATATTGACGTCATACAGTTCTTCATAACGTCACGAATTCTTTAAGACGTCACAGTTATCCTAAACACGCCATAATTACCTTCATGACGTCATCTAGATACTCGAGATGTAACAGGTAAGGACACACACACACACACACACACACACACACACACACACACACACACACACACACACACAGCTGGGATGATCTCGTTACTACACCTGTTGATAACGTTATCTCGTCGTCTCTCAGGTGTTAAGTGAGATTAATTAAGAGAATAAGTTAAGGTAATTAGGTTAAGGTTCCCCAGTGTGTTGTTAATCAGTTACGAATGGTAGAATTATTTGAAGGATATTTTGTTTATTATGGTATTTTATTAATCTCTCTGGTTATTATTATTATTACTATTATTATTATTATTATTATTATTATTATTATTATTATTATTATTATTATTATTATTATTATCTCTTATTGCGTTGGATTCGTTTGGTAATTAATATAAACTTTGACTGGCATGAACTTGAGAGAGAGAGAGACGGGGAGGGGGGTAGGGCAGTGTGTGCAATAATAATAATAATAATAATAATAATTAACGGTTTATTGAAAGAGCTTGGCAGCCAGAAGGCTGAAAATATACAGTTACATATTTGGGGAATGGGTTTCGAATTACAAATAATATACAAGTAACATAAGTGATACAAATAAGATATATAATAACTAGATGGGGAAAAGCTCAAACTACAGGGCATTTCAACATAGTGACAGTGTAAGGAGCAGTATTTACTGGGAGTGTGTGTGTGTGTGTGTGTGTGTGTGTGTGTGTGGCCATAAGACACGGGGGACGTTCCCTCACACAGGTGTTCAGAGAGTCATAGAACACACACCGAGGCGGACCGACACACACACACACACACACACACACACACATATCCCGGGTGTCGTTCATTGGGTATCGTACCAGCAACCAGCTCACACGTGGCCGTCTCTCGTCTCCCTCAACACCGCTCGCTGGCCGTGTCGTGGAGATCTCTCTCGTCTTTCCTCACAGGAGCCCCCTCGCCACCCTGTAATTCCTACAATCTCCAAAGGATCTTCAAGGGGCGTGGCGCGGAAGGGCGTGTGTCTCTGTGTCTCCTGAAGGTGTGAATATCAGCAAGGTTTTGGTAAGATAATCGAGACTCAGTACTGACAGGATTAATCATTGGGGGGAGGTGATGATACTGTTATCAATATTTTGGTGGTGATTCTCTTTTGTCCTTCTCTCCTTTTCCTCCTCCTCCTTCTTGTCCTTCTTCTCCTCCATACTACTACTACTACTTTCTTTGCTAACGGGACGCGACTTCGCAAAATGAACTATGGAAGACTGTTTATCAGAACGTGGTGCATCCGTTTAGTTGGGACTCTGTTGGTGGACTGTTGAGGAAGATTATTACGTATTACGACAAGGGTGTGTGTGTGTGTGTGTGTGTGTGTGTGTGTGTGTGTGTGTGTGTGTATACTGACTGCAGCCGATAAGTACTGTTGAACCTGGAGCTAAGGACGACAATATCATCTACCTCGTGTTATCTCCCCTTACCACCCCACCACACTACCAGCCACACCACCACATTACCAGCCACACCACCACACTACCAGCCACACCACCACATTATCACATCATAATACCAACACACGAACACATCACAACACCAAACCACGAACACAACACCACACTACCACAACACCAAACCACGAACACAACACCACACTACCACAACACCATACTACCACAACACCACACTACCACAACACCACTCTCGAGGCTTGGGTTTAGAACGAAAGACATCAACATCGCCAACATCCTCAGTAATAAGATAATAATGAAGATAATTACTATAGACATATTGGCCCGTACTAGCCAGCTCTGTTTACACGCAGCGCTTATCACTTCCACTAACCTAACCTAACCTAACCTAACTCTAACCTAACCTAACCTAACTCTAACCTAACTCTAACCTAACCTAACCTAACCTAACTAACCTAACTCTAACCTAACTCTAACCTAACTCTAACCTAACCTAACCTATATTTAAAGCTTCTCAGTGAGTTAGTGTTAAAGATGGTGTTTAGTAAAGTAAATAATCCCGCATGGAAAAAGATCTTGTCTTGTGGGTAGTGAAGCTTTGACTTACTGAAGCATAGAAATATACACAGACACTAAGAGGCAGATTTTTAATACACTAACTCAAATCTGACAAAAAATAACAGACGCAAAGAAACATACACAATACACAAACAATAACAAATCAGTTTCATACACACTCCCGAAGCTGCTAGTAATCAATTCAGTTTCATACACAGTCCCGAAGCTGCTAGTAATCAATTCAGTTTTATACACAATTCCGAAGCTGCTAGTAATCAATTCAGTTTCATACACAATTCCGAAGCTGCTAGTAATCAATTCAGTTTCATACACAATCCCGAAGCTGCTAGCAATCAATTCAGTTTCATACACAATTCCGAAGCTGCTAGTAATCAATTCAGTTTCATACACAATCCCGAAGCTGCTAGTAATCAATTCAGTTTCATACACAATACCGAAGCTGCTAGTAATCAATTCAGTTTCATACACACTCCCGAAGATGCTAGTAATCAATTCAGTTTCATACACAATCCCGAAGCTGCTAGTAATCAATTCAGTTTCATACACAATCCGAAGCTGCTAGTAATCAATTCAGTTTCACTACACTCCCGAAGCTGCTAGTAATCAATTCAGTTTCACCATCCCGAAGCTGCTGTAATCAATTCAGTTTCATACACACTCCAAGCCTAGTAATCAATTCAGTTTCATACACCTCCGAAGCTGCTAGTAATCAATTCAGTTTCATACACAGTCCGAAGCTGCTAATCAATTCAGTTTCATACACACTCCCGGCTGCTAGTAATCAATTCAGTTTCATACACATGAAGCTGCTAGTAATCAATTCAGTTTCATACCTCCCGAAGCTGCTAGTAATAAATTCAGTTTCATACACTTAAAATGGTAGTAATCAATTCAGTTTCATACACATCCAAGCTGCTAGTAATCAATTCAGTTTCATACACACTCCCGAAGCTGCTAGTAATCAATTCAGTTTCATACACAATCCAAGCTGCTAGTAATCAATTCAGTTTCATACACATCCCGAAGCTGCTAGTAATCAATTCAGTTTCATACAGCAGCTAAGAAACGAAGTGTATTGTCAACTAGCCCAGCCAGTGTACCCGGACTCGCTAAGGTGAATCTAAAGTCGGAAAAGCTGTCGATAAATAAGCTTGATAATGATGATAAATATATTGATAAGAGTATAAGGTATTTGATAATTAATTTGTTCCCCAGATTACTGTATTTCACCTGATGATTAATTACCCTATTGCTAATTTAACTTAATTTAACGCTAACGCTACTGTAATTTAACCTAAGCTAACGATAACCTAACTTAACCTAACGCAAGGCTAACTTAACATAACCTAACCTAATCAAAGTCCAACTAACTTTAACCTAACTTAACGCTAATGTAAATTAACCTAACGCAAGGCTAACTTAACATAACCTAACCTAATCTAACGTAAAACTAACTTTAACCTAACAAATCTAACTTAACCTATCGCCAACCTAACTCTAACCTAGCCTAACCTACTCAAATCTAGTCAAATCTGACCTTACCCAATATAACTCTAACGTAATCTAACTTAGCGCTAACCTTACCTAACCTGGTTAGGTTAAGTTAGACTAGCGTGGTTAATCTTCAGGTGATGCAAATTAACTATACCTGAAGTTAATGCTGAAGTTCGATCTGTTAATGAGCGTAACGTAAAGAGGCTGAGGTTAGTGGTTAAAGTGTGTGTGTGTGTGTGTGTGAAAGAGCCATTAACACTGCATCTCTGTATGTATAGAAGACGTACTATGTATGCATGTATGTTTATGTGTACAAGAGACGTCAATTATGTGTGTATATGTCATAGATATAACAATACAATCATGACACACACACATACACACACACACACACAACAAAAATGGCAGCAAAATTACACTGAGACTCTACAGAAGCAATTAAAATTTTCCTATGTTATTCTTATCGTTTTTATTGGGTTGAATCTTGAGTTAATTCTGAAACTGTAGTCGATGTCACTGTTTCTGTTTAACATAAGAACATAAGAATGGAGGAAACCACAGCGGGCCCATTAGTACATACTGGGCAGTCCCGTTTACACCCAACCCCTATTGTTCATATGTCCATCCAACCTATGTTTGAAGCTATCCAGCGTATTCGAGTTAATGATGATGTTTGGTAACTTGTTCCATTCATCCACTACTCTATTTCTAAACCAATGTTTACCTATTTCGCGCCTAAAACTAAATTTGTCTAATTTAAAACCATTGTTACGAGTTCGCTTCTGGTTGGATAGTTTGAATACCTTTGTTATATTATCTTTGTTTGTACTGACTTCCATTTATACACCTTTATCATATCGCCCCTCACTCTACGTCTCTCGAGGGTTTTTTTTAGTTTAACAATTTATTGACAAAGCTTGTAGTACAGTTTGCCTATTGTGAGTAATTCAGTCAGGTCTTGACACTGAGGTGATATCACTTCTGCCACGCAGGACAGAGGTTCATACACAAAGAAATACATCCGTGCAGATTAAGATGCTTTAACCTGTCTCTGTACAGGTTCCTAATGCCGGGATTATCTCACTTGAATTCTAGGATTCTATATCTAGTATAGGCTGAACTGCGTAATCCAAGTGAGGTCTGACAAGCGCAAGATATTGTTTTAGGATAACCTCACTAGTCTTGAACCTAACGCTCCTTTGTATGAACCCAAGTACTTTGTTAGCGTAAGTTAGTCAATTAGATGTGTATTTGCAGTTACGATAAACTATTGAACTTACGATACTTTAAGAATATGGTGTTTGAATTACGATACTTAAGTTTATATTGTAACTAGGAGACAAGAGCTCTGGCAGCGTAAATAGCATAAATTCTCAGCAACAGACAGACAGACAGACAGAACAGACAGATAGATAGATAGATAGATAGATAGATAAGTAACATGTGTTTAGAAACTTACCTTAATACCAAAAATTTCTACGACAAAAGTACGGACACCTCATTCAGAACCAACGTCACTCACTGTCTCTCACTGTATCTCTCACATAGAAAAGAGGAGAAGCACATATAAGCTACCTCTCTCATCGACATATTTCCTATCTCTCATCGACATATTTGCACCTAAAACTAAGACCTAGTGAACGGTGCTTCATAACCCTGGTGGTAGTTGAAGCACCTAAAACCTAATACTAATATTTAATTAAACTGTAATATGACGATTATTCTGAATGATTAAATAACTGCTATCGACAGAGGGCCGGTTTATGTACCTGTAATTAGTGTTTGTACCTGTATCCACACCTTTTCCTGAAACTGTATTTGCATCTGTGCTTGTATCTAAACATGCACTCGAGTGACCTACCCTCATGTTTGAATAGGTCAACCTGGTGTGGGTATGATAAATGCCTGTTGACCTGTCCACAGCATCAGTGACCTTCTCCCTCCCCCCCCCAACACAGGGTACGTCAGGTTAACGCTCTCTGACCTTGCTGATAACAGAAACGGTATGAACGTGTATGAAAGGTTATTTCTGCCCAGACTGAGGTCATCTCTGTCTCTGTCTGTCTGTCTGTCTGTCTCTCTCCAACCTTCCTTCGCTCACTCTCTAACGTCCCTCCTCTCTCCTTCTCCTTGCTATACCCCCTCTCCCCTCCTCCCCCCCCTCCTCCCTCTCTCCCCCTCTCTCACCCATTCCCTCTCCCTCTCTCCTCTCCCTCCATCCACCGGATGTTACATCCTCTGGCAGGGGCACCAACAGCCTTGCCACTCCTGCTCACCCTCCCTCGTCGCTCACTCTCCCTCGTTCACCCTCACTCTTCCCTCTCCTCCCTCTCCCTCGCTCGCCTCACTCTCCCTCGCTCGCCCCTCCCTTGTTTCTCCCTCCTCCCCTTCTCTTCTCCTTCGCTTCTCCTGTACCCCCACCTCACTCCCTATCCTTGCCTCCTCCTCACCTGTACCTCACCTCACCCTGTACCTCCTCTCCACCTGTACCTACCCCTCTGTACCTCTCTCCAGCACACCTCACAC